TATCTGCGAGGAGCCTCAGTGAGGGTCCAGCATTGATGGTGTACCAGCAGAAGCCAGAGGCCTTGAACCAAACCAACCACTCATCACAATAAACATTTGCAAGTAAAGCTGTTTGCAACAAAAAGGGTGTACCGTGTGACCCATCGCAGCTTCCAGCGCCACTACACTGAACAAATATGTGACAGTGAGGCAGGAAAGATGGAGGAGCAGAAGGGCGCATGCGCAGAGCAACAGGAGTCGCACCCGGCTGAGACAGGAAGCAGAGAAGGCTTCAGCTGAGAAGGGAGCAGGTCCTTCCCAGAGGGGTCGGCGAGACGATTTTTTTCCTTTTGTTTTGTTTTGTTTTGTTTATTTTTCATTTATTTTCTTTTAGCGGGGAGGTTACAAGAGTGGAGGGTGGATTTGGAAGGTGGACATGGGGAAGGCAGCGAGGTAACAGGAGCCTCGGACCCCCACAGAGGAGGGCCTGGTCTGTCTTGGCCTGGGGACTTGGCTCACACTCTGAGATAGAGAGTCACTGACGTTAGTCGGGTAAAGAGATGTGAGGTCGCTCCAGAGGGACTCCCCGGGAAGGAAGTGCCACGTGCTGCTCCAGGAGCTACAGGATGACCACTCCTGCTGCAGGCGGGTGAGGCTGGCAGGTTTGGGAATAGTGAGAGGTGCCCAGACCTTGAAAAGCCTTTTGATAACTTAAAATGTAGGGATGTGCTTCCCCCTGTAGGCCATGGAAGGCCTATGGAAAACTTCAAAGAATTCATCCTACTAGAGACTATGCTAATGATTTAGGAGCACAGACAGAATTCCTAGGGATTAGGAAATAAGGACAAGGATCCACTCAACAGGACCCTCCACTCACATTCTAAGACAGCAACATTCCCACTGGAGACTCTTCACCAGGCCGTGCCCCCATGTGCTGAGGCAGATGGATTCCCACCTTCAGAGCAGGATGTGTGATTTGCTGAAATGTCATGAAAATTTGAACATCCATTTCTGGAGAAATGGATGCACAATTTCCAGTGGATTTTTTTTTGGGGGGGGGGCGGTCTTCTTTTTGGTTTTTTGAGACACAGTTTCTCTGTGTAGCTTTGGTGCATGGCCTCGAATTCACAGAGATCCGCCTGCCTCTGCCTCCCAAGTGCTGGGATTAAAGGTGTGCGCTACTACTACCTGGCTCCAGTGGATTCTTAAAGAGATTCTGAATCAAATGAGGATGAAGTAAAAACAGCAGGTAAGTGCATAGGATGGGAGTGAGCGAAGTTCAAAATTCTGTGTCTGTGGGGACGGAGGTGGGGGACGACGGGACAACCTCGGCTGTCACTGCTCAGGTGCTACCTTGTCAGGGGTGCTTGACTGTGGCTGCTCCTTTGCTTTTCAGCTTTTACCCTGGTATCTAACTCCGGGTTCTTATTATTAAGACCAGTTGGAACCGTGCTTCATCTGGCATCCAACTTTTGGGGCACGAATTCACGGAAAAGCCTCCAGCTTTGCAGCCACCAACACAGGCTGGAGCTGCAGACAGCCCGAGTCACTACCCTGGAGGCTGGGTTTTCCCTTCTTTCCACCGGCCCTCTGGACAAGTCTGGGATTTTTTTTTCTGTTGCAGCCTCTCTGCAGCAAACTCCACAGGTGCTTGGGCTCCAAACACTGCTGGAGTTAGCCGCTCACGACCGGCCAGCTCTGCCTTTAGGCAGCTCCCGCCGCAGGTGCTTCTTTCCCATGATGCCTGAGTGCATTTTTCAGATAGCAGGTTTTCTCTCCCAGTAGGTTGTGGGCTTTCCCTGGAACCCCTCCTCCGGCTGCTGCCAAACTAGGTAGCTGCCTTGAAAACCCACTTGGGCTTCTGCTATTCTATGTAGCAGCAGTCAGCCTCGTACTTCACTGTCATGGTCAGAAGATTTGGGAGAAAATTGGGATTTCTTAAAGGGGGAGGGATGTTAGTTAAAAAAAAAAGATAGAGAGGGAGTTTTTCCCATGTTAAAAAATGGGAAACATTATTATGATGGAGCGAGTTAGGTCTCTGTATGATTATACAATGGATGGCTTAAAAATGGGACAATTAAATGAGAGAATAATTAACTTAGATGGGATTTACATAATGTCAATTATAAACATTATTGGTTTGATCATTCTTGTTTTATCCCTAAAATAGTTGGTTAATATGAATGCCAAGATATGTTTTAGAAAAACTTATTAAAACATATCATAGAGATATTCAGACCCAAACAGAGGAATTTAAAGAAGAATCAATCTCAGCATTGTATTATAATGTTAGAAAGAAACAGCCCAAGGTTTTCAAACAACCAAATTTAATTTACTCAGTTCACTTTATAGGAGCTACCAAATGACAAATATCCCCAAGTCTATGCAAGAGCTGAATGGACTTCTGTGGAAATGTTAAATTTGGGGGGATTTAAGAAAGTGATAGTCTTATACAGCATGCATTCACCTTTTGTGAAGCAGATGTTAAACTCATGGCTAACTTGTAACAGAATAATCCCACAAGACTGGAAAGACTTTGTTACAGCAGTATTGGAACCTGGTCTCAATTACAGTGGAGGACCTGGTGAAAAGATGAGGCTAGCACCATTGAAAAAGGAAGTAGGGATACAGGTATTGAAATCTCCTAAGACCAACTTCTTGAAGAGGGCAATTATGCTAATGTACAAAAACATTCTGTATATGATGACCACACCCTGGCTCTATGCCATGTAGCAGCTTTGAATGCTTGGGACAGAACTGAAGAAGTTGGAAAGAGAAGTGAGTTATTTACTAAAGTTATACTGGGCCCCAAAGAAACCTTAACTGATTTTTTTTTTTTACAAAGATTGACTTCAGCAATAAATAGAGTGATACCGAATTCAGAAGCTAGACAAATAATAATTGAATCTCTGGCTTTTGAAAATGCTAATGCACAATTCAAAAGGGTTATTAGGCCTTTAAAGGCAAGATTAGCACCCACAGAGGAATGGATCCAAGATGCAGTTGATATTGATCTGATAACCATGATGATGCTTGGATAGGAGAGGTGATTTCCAGAGGCTTGAAGAAAAATCAAAATGTCAAGTGTTTTAATTGTGGTAAACAAGGTCACCTAAAAAGGGATTATAGGCAAGGAATTCCTAGAAACAATGTTTTTTTCTAAAAATAATCCAAATAGAACACCCCTCTCCTATGGAGTATGCAGAAGGTATGGCAAAGGCTGATTTTGGACCAATGAATGTAGATCAACAAGGGACATAAAAGATAACACTTTGCCATCAGGAAATGCTTGGGGGGGGGGCTCTTGTAGACACTGTATCAAATTTGGTTCAGTCATTTCCTATGACTGTAAGGGAAACTCCTTCCCAGAGCAATTAAAGGACCTAATGCCTATTGTAAGTATATATATATATATATATATATATATATATATATATATATATATATATATATACTGCTCTGGATGATAGAACAATTTTAGAAGATAAAAACAAAAATTTCAGGAAAACCCATAAAGCAAGTATTTTGGTGAACTTCTATAAATGATCCAAAGTTAAAATACAAATAAATGACATTGTCATTGAAGGTCTTGTAGACACAGGTGTGGATGTAACAATAGTTGCACCAGAATCTTGGTATCCAAATTGGCCTCTTCAAAAGGTAAATGTTCAGCTTTTAGGGATTAGAATGTTAACTCAGGTAAAACAAAGAACAAAATGGATTGAATGTATAGAGCCAGAAGGACAGAGAAGAAAATTAAAGCCCTGTGCAGCTAATACAGCAATGAATTTATGGGGACATGGTTTGTTACAGCAATGGAATACCCAGATTAACATTCCTTCAATCTAAAAAAAAACCATAAGGTGACATATGTTTCCAGACAGCAGGAAGTAATTTTGAGAACATGACACCCACATTCCCAAGAGATGAAATGGATGGATTTTGGTGGTTCAATGGATTATAGATATTTGTCATCATTTAAGGTTAAAAGTTGTTATTGGTAATGGTCAGGAAAAAGCTGAACAAAGGAGATTAGATTCAAGAATCTAGTTCTAAAAAGAAAAGGAGGAGATATAGAAATAGGATAAAAAGGTAGATTATTGAATCTACTTTTAAAAAGCAACTATTAATTTTAAATATTTTACATTGACTTGGATTCTTGTATATTGATATAAACTTGTTATTTTTGTTATACTGTATATATGTTACAGAAATGATAGGGTAAATAGGTAGATTATTGAATCTACTTTTAAGTCAAAAAAGCAACTACTAATCTTAAATATTTTACATTGATATGAATTTTTGTATATTGATACAAATTTAAGGTTATTTTGGTTAGAACAAACTGTACATACCTTTCCACTCTTGTTCAAGGTATTGTACCTACACAGCTCATCTAACAATGTAATGTAAATTTCTAGTCCTTGGACTTATTATTACAAACTATTTAGGATAATAAAGAAATGTAGGTTAGTAATTAGTCACCTATTACAACCAAACTTCTAGTCATGTTAGGAATGTTTTCAAGGTCAAACAGATATATATTAGATAGGCAGATAGTCTTCAAACACTTTAGAGATCTATAGAATATGGCATTTAAGATGATTTAATAATTTAAAGTCTTTTTTTATGACAATAAGACATGTCTGCTCCTGGCAGCACCAATATACTTCAGAGAAGATGATGGACATCAAAGAAACTCCATATGGAGTTTACTTTCTTTGTGGCAAAAGTTAGCCACTGGACAAGAAATTGCCCTGGCCTCTACTGCTGACAGTATTCTGTCCAAATTGGACTAGCAGGACAGAAAAGAAAATGACTACAGAACTTGCCAATATAAAGTGGGACAGCTCTTCAAAACTCCTGCTTCACAGAAAAGTCTATCAGACATGCTAGACCTATAGGCTGAAGATGGATGCCTCAGTGTTGCAGAGGAACCTTGGATGACTGTATAGGAAGCCAGCTGTTTCTGTCATTTCTTATTTTTGGAAGTTGTTTGCTCTACACTTCCTATTTATGCAGGTAATATTATGTCCTTCTCAGGTCTCTGATGGAGTTGAAGACTAAGCAGTTATAGTTTTCCTTGTTAGCAGACTCAAAAGAAACTAACTAAAGAGGTGTAAAGTGTATAAGTTAAGAGACATAAAAAGATAGTTTTGGGTTGGTAATCCAAGTTAGGATAGAAAGTGAATTAGGTACAACACTTCGGATTCACCAAGATAGGATAGATAATGG